GTCCAATCCTGCTCAGACATAAGCATATTGACTGGGGGCCTAAGCCATTTAAGTTTTTCAATGCATGGTTTCAACAAGAAGGTTGCATGGAGTTGGTTAAAGAGGTGTAGGGGTCGGCAAACATTCAAGGATGGGCAGGGTTTCAACTTAAGAAAAAACTGAAATTGACAAAGGAGATTTTGAAAAGGTGGAGCAAAACACTTCTCCCAAATATTGATGCCAGAATAAACAAGGCTACTAAAGAGATAGCACAAATTGATAAGAAAGGAGAAGAGGTACAGTTATCAGAGGAAGAAATCATAAGAAGAAGAGAGGATTTCCTACTTCTATGGGAAAGCATGAAGAGCAAGGAAAGTATGCTGCAGCAGAAATCTAGAAAGGCATGGTTGACCCTCGGCAATGCCAACACAAGTTTCTTTCACAACTGCATCAAGGAGAGATGGAGAAGAAATGAAATGACTTCTATACAAATCAAAGGAACACAAATTATGTGTGCCAACAGAATGAAGGAGGAGATTGCTTCCTTTTTTGAAGACATATTCAGAGAAGAACAGTGGGACAGACCAAAGCTAGAAGGGGTGAGCTTCAAGCAGATTTCACAGTTAGAAAATGACCATTTGGTTGGAGCTTTCAGTGAGCAAGAGATAGATGCAGTGGTGCGGGAGTGTGACAGTTCAAAGGTGCTTGGACCAGATGGATTCAATTTCGGCTTTGTCAAGAATGTGTGGGAGCTAATAAGGGTAGATGTAATCAGATTCTTGCATGAATTCCATAAAAATGGCAAGCTAGTTAGAGGACTTAACACATCTTTCATTGTCCTTGTGCCAAAACTGGATAACCCACAGAAGATAAAGGAATATAGACCCATCTCCCTCATTGGCATTATGTATAAAATCCTTGCAAAGCTTCTTGCTAACAGGTTAAAGGTGGTCCTTGATGGGATCATCGGTGAACAATAGATGGCATTTATTAGAGGAAGGCAACTAATGGATGGAGTAGTGGTTGCAAATGAGGTGATTGATGATGTAAAGAAGAAGAGGAAGGAGACATTCTTGTTCAAGGTCAACTTTGAAAAGGTGTATGATAAGGTCAGTTGAGAATTCCTCGACTATATGATGCAACAGATGGGATTTTGTGTAATTTGGAGGAACTGGATCATGGAATGTTTGAGAACAAATCTTGTATCAATTCTGGTTAATGGCAGCCCAACAAGGCAGTTTACTGTGACAAGAGGGCTCAGGCAAGGGGACCCCTTATCACCCTTCCTATTTTTAATAATTGCAGAAGGTCTTAATGGACTAGTTTCAGCTACATCTCAGAAAGGGTTATTGGATGGAGCATAGGTGGGGAGTAGAGGTTTTAAAGTTTCTCACCTACAATACGCGGACGACACAATTCTCTTTGCTACAGCTAAAAAGGAAAATGTGTGGGCAATGAAGGGCATCTTGAGAGCTTTTGAACTAGTCTCAGGCCTTAAGATAAGCTTCAACAAAAGTCATTTGATTGGCGTACATGTGCAAGAGGGCTGGCTCAACAAAATGTCATGGGTGCTTTGCTGCAAAGTTGGGGTTTTTCCATTTAAATATCTGGGCATCCCCATTGGAGGAAGTAGTAGAAAAAGGGCCTTTTGGAAACCGCTAGTGGAATTATTTTCTAAAAAGTTATATGCATGGAAGGGTCGGTACTTATCTCTTGGTGGACGGATTACCCTTATTAATTCGATGCTATTCAGTCTTCCTGTGTTCTGGATGTCGGTGTATTTTATCCCAAAAGGTATGATTCTTTCACTTGATAAAATTTGTAGAGGTTTTCTATGGGGTAGGGCTGCAAGAGAAAAGAAAATAAATTGGGTGAAGTGGGAACAGGTCTGCAAAGGTAAAAAGCAGGGTGGTTTGGGGGTTAAGGATTTGAGCAAATTTAATATAACCCTATTAGGAAAATGGTGGGGGAGGATAATCATGGCAGATAAAGGGCTCTGGAAAAAGGTTATTGTGGAGAAGTATGGTTGGGTAGGGGAACCAAGCTTCAATTGGTTGAGGGAGAACATTAATTTCGGCTCATCTTGGTGGAGGGACTTAAGCAGATTGAATGATATTGAAAAAGAGAAGAAAGGATGGTTAGTGGATGGGTTGGACTTAAAACTAGGGGAAGGGGTAGACATTAGTTTCTGGTGGGACAAGTGGAGTGGGGATGGGTGTTTAGCTAACAAATATCCTAGACTTCACTTGTTATCTGCCGGAAAGGACTGTAAAATCTCACAAATGGGAGGTTGGCACAATGACACTTGGAAGTGGAGTCTACAATGGAGAATGTCCCGATTCAGCTGGGAAGAACATCAGGAACTAGAGCTCCTAAAGGAGATTAACGAGATAACAATTGCAAGAGGGAGACCAAATCAAAGGATATGGATTCATAGTAAAAATGGTAGTTATACAACCAAATCAGCATACCATATACTTGCAGCAGAACATAGAAACAACTAGCAGGGGTCGGCTCTACAAAAAGCATGGAATCCACTTATACCGAGTAAAATCTCAGCATTCTCTTGGCAATTGCTACAAGGTAAAATTCCAACCAAGGATAATCTGCTGAAGAGAGGCGTGATTCAGGACCCAGGCGAGTGCAGATGTGAATTATGTGGTGCAGGGGAGGAGAATTCCAACCACCTTTTCGTTCAGTGCAAAGTGGCATGTGATCTATGGACAGCTTGCTACAAATGTTGGGGAATTAAAATAGTAACTGATAGAGATTGCTGGAGATTTTTTGAACAACATTCCAGTATGCTGAAAACAACGGGGGTGAAGCAGGGATGGGAATGTATATGGTTTGTAGTGATATGGACAATTTGGTTGGCCAGGAATGAAAAATTGTTTAGGGGGAAAGAGGTGGATGGTGGAAGGTTATTTGAATTGGTCCAAATCAGGGCCTTTAGTTGGATTAAGGGCAAAAGGAGCGACAATTTTTTCTCCATAGCTGATTGGATCTAGAATCTTGCAAATTGTTTGAGCATTAATCGCGACAATAGAAAGTATCTCAAGAGAAAGTCATCTAAATGGAGGTGGAGTAGTGAGTGAAGAAGATTGTGTGCCTGAAGCACTGATGGTCTTTGGGGTTCTAAACGGTAGTCAAGGCATACTCAATGAATGTACATGATAGCGGGGCGATAGCTGAAATGTTTTTCATCATCAGTATAGTGATTGATAAAGATTTTGCATCAAAAGGCAGAAAGTTCAAAACGGGTACAGTGCCGACGCACTGGATCTAGTATCGACACTATATTGCATGCACCCAAATATTCGACACGGACGTGGTGTTGGCACATAATTCAGGGGTCGACACCATACGAAAGGGTTTAAAATTGTATGACTTTCAAATTGTCAAGTTGATGGGTTGGGGATACCTCTTGTACTCTGTTTATTAATAAATAATATTTTTTGCTGTTCAAAAAAAAAAAACAGTAACAATAATACTGCATATGTGGCAGCAGCGAAGCCTAGCTATTTATCATTTCAAATTTTTCTTCTTGATGCATAATCCACTATTTTTTGCTTTGATATTGGTACGTTAGTTATCAATTTTAGAGCATTGGGTCCTTTGTCATCAATTTTGCAATTCTCCTTTTTCTTTTTTTTTTTGTGCGTGAACATGAATAATTTGAGAGTATGGGAATGAAACTTTTTAACATGACATTATTACAATTTAAACTTTAATTATTACTAAGGCATTAAGTGTATCTAACAATTGGCTCATGAGAGTCGGTGCTTTTGCAATTCTCCATTTAAGCGTTGCCAATCCAAAGCCATGTATATGACTCCTATATATATCCTATGTTCATATCTGTGAGGTGAGATCCAAAAATCCCATATTTTGCAATTAGGTTGTGTTTGGTTGAGGCACGATTAGTAAAGTGTTCGAAAAACCTCACAGTAGAAAATGATCCTTTTTTCTTTTGAATAAGGACAATGGTTTTTTTAGGTTGGGGGACGGGCAAAAGTTGGTCAAGAGAATACTGTGGTTTGGACCCATGCCAGCCTTGGTGTTCCCGCAATGCAATAGAAGGTAATACCACTTGCACTAAATATCGTGTGGAACAAAATGTCAAATACCAAAAGAATAGCCCTAAGGATGATGCCAAACAACATCTACTGGACCCTCAGACACTCTGTTGTCAAAGGACAACTACCCATGTGACTTTCTAGTATTACAGGCACACGTGACTCCATTATTTAGATTTCTTTAATAATGTTGATTTTCAACTAATTATTTTTAATTTTTTCAGACACCATTAATTGAAATACTACCGACACTTAAAATCTTATCCTTACACTATCTATACACTCATGATGTCCTCACACTTATTTTTCACTCTTACACATGTTGTTCACTCACACATATATATTTTGCACTTATATTCACAGAACTTATATTTATCACACTCAATTATTTTATCACAGATTTTCTCTCAGTCATCATTCAAGATATCTTTTGTTGACCCTCTTTTCATATTTGCTGTTTAATTTGGCTACTCTAGCCTTCTTGGGAACTCAGCTCTTGCGCAAGAAATTCAAGCAATTTTTTTCTTTTTTTTCATTGTACCTTTTGTTTGAAGTGCTTATAGTTTCCGGATCACTCAAATGTAACTAATCTAAAACTTGGTTAACAAGCGATTCCACCACTCTTACTGGACCCACCAAGCCTCACTGTGGCCAGGGGTGATAGACTTGCCTGGGAACAGGACACAATAGCACAAGAGAAAAAGACCCTTACCCAAGGCCAACAAACTTGCACGGTGACACCAGCAGGACAAAGATGGTTGTATAGACAAGCAACACTGCCAGGGGCAGAGTCAGAATTTTTTTCAGGGGAGAAGAGATAATTTTTTATATATTAATTTACAAAATTTTTAAATTTAAGGGGGCAAGATAACTTTTCATATACTAATTTACAAAGATTTTTAAATTTCAGGGGGTCGAGCGCCACCCCCCCTGGCACCTCCCTCCCTTCGCCACTGAACACTGCCACAATGCTACAAAGGCAGTGCAATACCCTTAAACTTAAGGGTTAGCATTTGTCAAAGATGGACCCTTACCCTACATGTAAATTTGACAAATGCAAACCCTTTCGATGACCTGAAAAATGAAAAGGCAAAAATAGGATGAGAATAAGGAGCAAGACATTTCATTGGCAGTCATAGTTGATTCTAGAGAGAAGATATATACCCCGTTTCAGAGATATGTGGAAACAAGACATCCCAGGACAAATCCTGCTGATGAAAACACATTCTTTATCTCATTTTCTTTAGCCTGTATCATTATTCAGCAAACTAATTTAGAACCCATGCATATATATGTAGGATTTAGAAGATGTTATAACAAGGTTAGCATAGAACAAACCTTGAAAGGAAGATTTCTGCCAAGAAGTTTCCACTTTTGAGTCTTGGATCCCTGGCACACCAGTACCATAGAGAAATTACTAGACACATCTGACAACCAAGTATATAACTATATATACAGGAAAAATTCTTAAAGCCAAACCACAGAAGGCCAGTTGCAAGAAGCTTTTTGTAACAATTTACTCCATCTAAGCAATATCCCTATTCATGTCCTTCACTGTTGATAATTACACCTACTGTCCTGTTTCTTATGATTCTCTTATAAACTCTAGTCTTACACTTTTCAGATTAAATCAAATCAATCTCCAATACTGTCATATTAGTAGTAGTTCACCACATAAAACCTTTTAAAATTATTTTTCTCTTATAAACAGTTATATGCTGTTTAGCATTTCCTGGACACATTGACTCCTCTTATCACCTACACACTGGATTCTTGTGACCCTGCAGTGAACAATGGGAGAAGAAAAATAAAAGTTCGACAGAAACAAACTTTACATCTAACTGCCTCAAATTTATCATCAAAAGATGGCCTTGAAATCTGCATTGCATTCAAGCTCCAAGTAGATGCAAAGAACCCGTAACAATACTCTGATCTAATTGTTTTTCAATCATCCATAATTTACAAGTTTTGCCTCCTTGCAATCTGTTTTAAGACATCTTCTAGCATTTCAGTATGAAACAGAATTCAGAAATCTCACTTAAAATCAGAAGACAGTGAAGCTCAGTTCAGCTGACTAGTGACTACTGATGACTAATGTAAAAGCAAATGCTAGCAGCATTAGGACTAATAAAATTCCATCACTCTTCCATTCATATATAAACAAATTCTACTTGTAGCATAGCATCATAGCAATATTACCTCACAACCTAGTTGGTGTGCCCAAACAATGCTTCCCTTTATCTCTTTTTGGTGTAACATTGCACTGGAAGCACGAGCTTCTTTGACACTGGTAAAATGCATAGCCGAAGCATCCATCTTGCAACCATCTCGTGCAAGACCTACCATGGTCATGTTTTGTGGTCATTAATCCAAATGTAACACATAAAAGTAAAAGATAAAAACATGAATAACCTCAAATAAAAAATTGAAAACAAAAGTGTGTAGTGTGTGTGTCAATCGTGGAGCTAGGAAAATTTTCTAGTGGTTACAGTGGTTAATATTGAATACTATTATTTGAAACCCTTTCATTAATTAGTATAATGTCTAGAAGTTTTTACAAACTACAAAATTGATTGGTCTCAACACGTGGCTCTGCCACTGGGGTGGATGTGTCTGTGCATGTACACAGTACATGTAAATTGCTCCAATGAAAGAACTGTGAGTTACGGGTCATAACAAACTTATCCACTCAAAAACTATTCCGATTCAACACACTAAGAAGTTAGGCTTAACAAAGGGCAAGCTTGGAATAAAGCTCAGTTAAATAACTGAGTCAAGGTTGAGTACAGGTTTATACAACTCAAGAGCTTGTGAGCTCAAGCTCGATATTGAGAGTTGAGCTTGAGCACTGGTTTGTTGAACATGAAAGCTTGTGACTTTAACTTGACCTTTAACTTGTGTGTTATGCTTAACAAGTCAAGCACAAACAGAGTTCTTGACCTAAGCTTGACCTTCTCAATAATTGGGTTAAGCTTGGCTTATCGCCATCCTTGCCGTGAATTCAGCTCCATGAACACTAAGATTTAGATAAAAACAAGTTGCAACCTAATGGGTTTTTGGTGAAGAAAAATGAGTGCACCACTATAGCAACAGCAATTTCCTATTCCATAGATATCAATTATGGAACACACTTCAATCAAAAGAAGAAAATTCAGCATCCAAAGCATGTCTAATAATATTTGATAATAGAATAGGAATGTAAAAATTAACCTCCAAAGAGACTGCCACTACCATGTTCTTAAAGCTCTTCTTTTGGAAGAGAATAAATGACAGAACACATGGTTCCAACTTCCCTAGCTTGACAATGAACATTTTGTACCACCTCAGTATTGGTAAGACCACCAAACATGATAGTCCTTACAACCCTTATAATATTGACCATAAAAGACCACACCTTAGAGTTCCACAGAAAAGATCATAATTGTCATGTGATAACAGACTATCAAAAAACTGAGCTACCTAACGGAATCCAGAGAAAACATGGTTTAATGGGTAAACCTAATTACTTCAACTTCAAAATTAGAAGCCAGGAACCAAACAAGGAAGTTAGCCTTCCCATCCAACTAACATAATTTCTCTTCAGCCGAAGATAAGGTCATTATACCATGCTTGTTCAATCCCATAACAATTGTCTTGCTTCACTGTTTAAAGCCAAGTTTGAAGCTTATTTTTGGTAAATTAATTAATTCAAATGAATATTTTTTTAAAAAATAATAATAATCATTCTCCACATCTCAAGTTCCCCCCTGAATTTATTTAAAGTCAAAGATAATAACTGGCTGGTAACAGGACATGAAGAGACAATATTTCATGCATGTGGCAAAACACAATCATATTATTTAGAAAGATACCATCATCTTTGACCCAAAATCACTGCCACTAAATGCCAAGCAACTTCATTTATGCAAAAATTTCAGCCTTTTCTAATAGTGAATGACAGTTGCATTCAATTTCCAGAAAAAAGAGAACTCTAATCACAGAAAGAGCATGTGACGATAAAATCTCCAAAGAAAGAAACACATTAGATGTTTTGTTTGGCTAAAGTATAACAAAGAGAATTCAGTAATCAGTACCTCTGCTTTTCTGAACAATTCTCTCTTTTTTTTTTTTTTTTTTTCTCCTCTGATAAATTCTGAACAATTCTCTTTATCAGCTAAATCACCACAAATTTTTGCTGGTTTCTGAGACTGCACAGGTTTCCCTTGATTTCATCCAAAACATCAAATCAAAATAGGGGAAACCCAATTCACAAGTGATAGAATAATGATTATGATTGAAAAATGAACAAATAAATACATACGTAGTGCTTTCTGACCTGGTTCTCACAGAGGTGAACCATGCTTGTCTGCACTAGAAGTAATACCATCCTTGTCATTCTTTGTCCTCAGTTTATCATATATTGGAGCAACAAATTCAATAGAAAGTACAGAGAATACTTGAAAAGAAAATAATTGTGTGCCCATACACAGTCTGGTTAAAAAGATAAAACTGCAAGGCACATATAATAGAAATCAAGAAACATTGTGAAATATACAAACCTTGGGTTGCTTTAGACTGAAACTGCTCCAGTGGAGCATGATGAATTCCATGTTTTACTCCAATTTTTTGGCCTCCAAGGGATAAACCATTCTTAAGTTCAATGGCACAATTGGCGTCTTCTGCAACACACTGTACAGTACACAGATCCAAGTACAAAAGGAACTGTAAAATAAAAGGCTTGGTTTTGATTACTTTTTACATAGTTCCTAGAAGACTCGGATTTGAAAATCCATCTTTTGTGAGGATTTGAACTTCCATTTTGCAAAATTGTTGTTATATGCTTACTTGTATCATGAATGGATAACCAGTCACAATGCTGGCATGGTCCTCAAAAATATCCTATTGAAAAGAGAACATTCTGATTTCTGAGTATTGGCTTCCTATTCATCGCATCATATGATGAACATTACTCACGATTCATTGTTTATAATAATATTTGCCTATAACTTTTACCGAGGATAAGGCTTTGTTTGGTTTACTTGTTAAGAATAGTTGATGGATGTAATTAACCAATAGCTGATAGTTGCTGATATCTAATAGCTGATATCTATCAATCAGACGTTTGAAATCAGCTTATAAAATTAACTTTCAAAACGTCCTAACCAGCTACAGGCTGTCACTATCCGCCACACCAAATGCAACTTGAATCATACAAATAATGTCATGAATTATACAAATAATGTCATGAATTTGCTAGCATTAACATTATCACTAGACCCTTCTTTCAAAATCATGTAATCTGACTAGACAACAAAGTCATGCCTCCAAAAACTAGCGGTAACAAGCTACTAGATTTTACATGTAACTAAGTCATCAAATCGAGCTGCATGCGCGAGCAATTATGTTGATAAGCTTGTGTAAGAAAATATAGCCCAAAGAAAAGAGAAGGGAGAAGCTTCAATATAGGAAGACGCACAGAAAGAATGTCTTGGTTTATGAATATTAAGGTTTAATTGCATCTAGAAAACAACTAATCAACCTCAAAAATGAAAAAGATTCAAAAGTGAACCTCAGTGAAGAAAATAAAAGTTGAAATGAACTTACAAATTGAACAAAACCAAAAGTGCGGTACTCAGTTGACCCAATGAACAGAAAAGCAAAACAGATTAGTGATGTTATAACCCAGGGGTTACAAAAAACAGAATCTAAAAAACCTTTATGACTTCCAAAGCCATTCCACTTAAATCAACTCTCTTAGTCTTAGAAAAAAAAACTCGGTTTACCATTCTGTGTGACCAAAATGCAACGCCTGATTGGACCAACATCATTGAATGTCTCCTTGAGCTACAAAATATAGAAACAAAGACAGAATTAATGAAAAATGACTCCGTAAAATAATAGACCTCTTCCCCTAAATTTTTTTCCCAAAGAACATATAGCAACCGAACACAAGAAAAAGTTGAGACATTTTCCCAGTAACCAAACAGAGGGACTAAAGAAATAGAAAGTACCTGAGAGTTGGTAATGGAATAGGGCAAATTGGAGACGAAAACAGTTGATGGGCTGTGTTCATTTTCGGTTTCCTTCTCATCTCTTTTCTTGTTCCCCATTGATAAAACTTTGTTGTGAAGCTTAACTTAAGAATAAAAGGAGAATCTGAAAAGGGGGTTCCTAGTATTAAGCATGGATGAAGAATGGAAGAAGAGGAGGAAAGAGATTGGACAGGAAGAAGGTGGAGGGAAAAGGAGAAGGAAGACAAGTTACCGAGGCAGAGTAGTAGAGCTAGCTAACCGGATTCCGGATGTAACAGTGGCTGCCTTAAACCTTTTGCCCTGTTTTTTTTTCTTTAATACAACAAGTGTAATATAGGTAATATTATAAATTTATAATATAATATATTTTTATATAATTAATAATTTTTATTTAGATGTATACATGTGATATTATATATATTTATTTAATTTTATATTATATTTTATTTAATATCATATATAATTATAAATTTATAGTATTATGTGGAGATGATGCTATAGAATAATTTTTTTATATTATTATTTTTATATAATTTTCACATTTTATTAAATGAGTAATGAATTCAATACCACGGATCCTATATAAATTAAAAAAATAATTATTTAAATGACATATTAGATTGTATCAAAAAATAATATAAAAAAATTATTCAAAATTATTTGGTATTGTAATTATAGCATTGCTAGTTTTTTTAAATGACGGGGCAGCTTAGGTGGCGCCAACTCGAATTCTCGTTAGTGCATTTAATCAGAAATTGGATAGTTTTGATGGTATTAATTTGGTAACAAAAAAGTGCCATACCACACAACACTAATTATTTTTAATGAAAGGTGAACCTTTGATAGTAGTAATTTTCACTCATTCATCAATTTTTATTTTATAATTTAACATAATTTAAACAGTAAAATATAAACTCCATTAATAAATCATGACCTTCTTGCCTTTTTTTAATACTAGTAAGATGTATAAACATAGCTAAAGAGGCTTTGGTTGAGAA